GAAATCTTTAAGATATGTAGTACCGTTGGCCGAGGAACATTTATTTGCCTTGAAATGTTCCGTATGCTAGTCGTAGGATCTTGTTCAATAGCGTCAAGGACCTCCGCTTCCCTATTAATCCTGGGACGTCCTTGACCCGGTGCCTTTCGAAAAGTGGCGGTTGCAGCTAAGTTGCGGAATACCGTAGGGAATGTCCTCCTTGATGGCAGCCTTCGGTTTGGAAACCTTCTCCCGTACTCGCGTTCTGCCGCTGCAGCATTACCATCGCAAAAGCCATAAATAAATATCATATCAACTAACTCTTGTCCCGTAAACTCTTCCATTTTTTTCGCTTAGAACTATTAAATTGGCAATCGGGTTGACAATACTTTGACATAAGAATACCTTGATAATTTTGTTTAAATTACTATGAAATTGACCAAAGTGGGATTAATTCAAGAGCGATTTTCTCAGAAACCGTTAAAGATAACGATTTGAAACAAGAGTACCTTTTTAACGTAAAACAGTTCGGGAAAACGGAATTTGCTGTCCAATTTGTTAAAAAGTCAAAGATGAAAAAGTTACACACGCAAAGTACCAAGGGCCCCCCCGTACCCACCCCAATGGACCTTGTGGAAATAAATGGATTAGTCCATCAAATTGCTCATCAAAATTTAGCTGTGTATACCAAATTTCATTCATTTATCACAACGCGATTGAGAGATATTGCAAAAAAATTATTTCCAATCCTCCCTCTTCAATGGGTCCCTGTGCTCTTAGGAAGCATTTCCGGACCCATGTTCATATGAACTTTTTTACTTAGTTTTGATCATAGAATCGGCCTGTTCAGGGTTGGCAGCTAATTATGAGACACCCTGTATATGAAACGTAATATACCACCTACAGTCGCAAACAGAAAGTGTATGTATAGTATAGAGATGTATGTATGAGATATTATTATTATCATTATTATAATTATTAATTAATAATTAACAAAATTAATAAGCATATCTTCCCTGTAAATAAAATAACTGTTACATTTGGCAATGGTGTGTATACCGGTACGCTTATTAGGGTAACGTTATTCCAACTTAAATTACGGAGAATGTTATCGGTTATTAAAGTTTTCGGTTATTTTCGAACTACTGTGCATGATCAATATAACGGATAACGTTTAACGTGATTCAAATAAGTGACTTAAAATATCCCTATTATTCCAGTCGAATTAGATCATAAAACCTGAAAACTTGAAAAAATTAATAATAGACATTTTATTGTACTTTATGATGGGGAAGGGTATGTAGAATGATAATATTAAAAAAGTAACTCGAAAGAAGTGACGCTAAGTTGGCAAATTGCAAATAAGTGGCAAATTTACGTATTTCTCACTTTTTTTAGTGCCCACGAAAATCTAGATGACCTTTTGAAATATTAGTTATTTTATGTTGTAGGCAATTAAATTACATGCAATTTAAGGTGTGTAACTGTAAAATAAAGGTCAAACACGGAAATATCAGTTTTCGAAAATTGCGCATTATTGCAAAAGTTATGGATGTTGATAAAATTTATGGAAAAGGCGGTCAATCCAATGACCAACACGTGTGCCAAACGCCAATTCCAGTGACCGTGAAATTGTTGCTTTAGCTATTTGTTAATTAATTTCGTTTGTTTTTTTGCAACTAATTGTTTAATTACTAAACGTAATTTTAAATGTTAATATCGTAGATAAAGGTTTTAATTGGTTCAAAGAAACATATCGAAAAAGAAAAATTTCAAAAAGATTAAATTAAGTTGCCCTTTACAACTAACAAAGAAGCGCATGGAAACAAGCGTTACAAACAAATTGTCCCAGGGTCAGGCAAAAACTGCTAGGAAATTTACTATTTTTGCATTAAATCTATATTTAATTTTATTAAATATTAAATTATTAAAATTATTAAATCTATTTATTATTTGTTTTATGAATTTATTTATAATATAATATATCGCGTGCGACTGAGAGCAACGTTCACGCGCATGCTGTTCAATAACGTTAACTTTTACTGCTGCCAGCGCGTTTATTACATGAACTATCAATGCAAAACTTTCTGAAAATAAAAGTTTAACTCCTTCTTTAATTGTCTCTAACATCCCGGTCCGATACGTTCAATAGTTAATTAACAATTAACGATATATATATAAAAAAAAACTATTTTGGGAACAAAGAGGCGTAAGTTGATTACTCTTTTTTTTAATTACCTTAAAAATATGCTCTATTTAATGCAAAAAGAGCGAATTGCCGAGCGGATTTTACCTGACTCTGGGACAATTTGTTTATAACGCTGTTTTGCGCGTCCTACTTTGTTAGTTGTAAAAGGCTACTTAATTTCAACTTTTTGAGATTTTTCTTTTTCGATACGTTTCTTTGGATCAATAATTAGAACCTATATCTACGATATTAACATCTAAAATTAACATTTAGTAATTAAACAATTAGTTGCAAAAAAACGAACAAAGTTAATTAACAAATACCTGGAACAATAATTTCATGGTCAATCGAATCATCGGCCTTTAGCACACATGTTGGTCATTGGATTGACCATCTTTCCAAAAATTTTATCAACATTCATCGTTTTTTTGCAATAATAATGCGCAATTTTCCAAAACCGATTTTTCCACGTTTAACCTTTATTTTACAGTTAACAAATTGGTGAAATATGACTTTAGATACCTTAAATTATAGATAATTTAATTGCCTACAACGTAAAATGATAATAAAGTGCAAAATGATAATTTTCCGATAGGCCATATAGATCTTCGTGAGCAGTAAAAAAAAAATGAAAAAACACGTAAGTAAAGAACCCAATCACAAGATGATAGGATTTTGGACCTCACTGATTTTTTTTTAATTTTGATATGTTGCAAGTTATGACCTCCTGAATAAATGTTCTCATGGGTGCAAGACCTAAATATGAACAGACTTTGAGATATAGATTGAGGGCATCAACAACCTCTGAGAGCGCAACTCTCTGAACATAATTCTATTAACATAGGTAACTGTTAAATATAATTAATCGATTATGGTAAGTATGAACTCGGAGTGGCCTTATAAAGATGCCATGATAATAATATATATACACACACTTATATACACATACATAGGATGTAACAAAAGTAGCGATACATTTGGATAACTTTCCAGAATCGCACTTTCCGTGGAAACGGTTGGCACAAAAGTTGGGTTTGGTCCAAGAAATCTATTGGTTACCTTGAACTCGACAAGCTTCAAGCTCAACTCTTTTTTTTTATGAAAACCCCTATATTTATTCCGGAAATAGATAGATTGAATATGTTCAAATATGTATTTGACCTTGAGACAAAGTGACCCCTAGAGGATTATTTAAAGGTCATACTTAAGGTTAACTGATGAATCTCGATGCAGGTTGCAATAATGAAAAATCTTACAGATAAATCCATACCACCACCAAAAGTACCAATCCTAAACCCCCACCACCAAAAGTACCAATCCTAACCCCATCCCACCACCAAAACCTACCCTCCCCAGATCCAACCCACAAAAAAATCCCACTTTTATGTGTAAGGTTTTCCATTATTGCGAGTGCTTCGAGAATCATTTGTTAAACTTTAGGAGGGTGGCGTTCGGTGGCAGGTTAGTTCTTTAAGGGGGATTAGGTGGCAACTTAGGTCTGGGGAGGGTGGGGGTTTGGTAGTGGGATGGATTTATCTGTAAGATTTTTCATTATTGCAATCTGCATCGATCATCATCGGTTAAACTTAAGTATGACATTTAAATTATCCTTTAGGGGTCACTTCGTCTCAAGGTCAAATACATATCTGATCATATCTAATCTCTATCTATTTACAGAATAAAAAATAAAGGTTTTCATAGAAATGAGGTGACCTTGAAATGACCTTCAAAAATGACATATGGGTGAAGTTCAAGGTCACCAATCGATTTCTTGGACCAAACCCTACAACTTTTATGCAAACCGTTTCCTCGGAAAATGCGATCCTGGAAAGTTATCTAGATGTATCACTACCTTTGTTACACCCTGTGTGTATATATATTATCATGGCATCTTTATAAAGTCCCTCTGAGTCCAAACTTACCACTCACAATCGATTAATTATGCTTAATAGTTACCTATGTTAATAAAAATACATTCAACGAGTTGCGCTCCTAGAGGCAGTTGATGTCCTTCTAACCTCTATATCTCAAAATCTGTTCATTTTTAGGTCTTGCACCCATGATAACATTTAATCAGGAGCATAACCTGCAACATATCAAAATTTAAAAAGTTTTCAGTGAGGTCCAAAATCCTATAATTTTGTGTGGGGTCCTTTGCCACTTATTTGCAATTTGCCATCTTAGCGTCACTTCTTTCAAGTTACTTTTTTAATATTATCATTCTATATACCCTTCCCATCATAAAGTGCAATAAAATGTCTACTAGTAATTTTTTCACATTCAAACTCTAATTCAACTGGTGTATATGTCCATCCCGCTCACTCTATCTATAAACTGGTGTACTGATTTAGTCATTGTTCCCAATCGGTTGTTTAATTCTAATGTACTCAGCATTTTGTAAAGAATCGGGGCCAGTCCGGAGCCAGTTAAGAGCCAGTCAATGGCTAGGAGCCAGTTCACCGTTTTGCCCTGCACCGGAAAAGTAATCCCTCAGAGGTGTAAGTATGTATTTTGTAAAATAGAATGTTAAAATGAATGGATTTGCCTCTGTATATTTGCCCTCTCAGCAGCCAAGCGAGTAGTCCTAAGAAAGTAGTATTTTTTTCTCACTAATTGTTTTCAGTATTTTAAAGCCCAACAGGACATAGCTGTTGGAGGTGCCGTTGTTTAGGAGGCGCCTTCTATACTAAAGGTGACAATATCTTTCTTCTTTCATTTTTTTACTGTAGGTACTGTTTTTTTATTAAATATTATGTCACTGATTTTGTCCCTTAATTATAATAGAAAGTACATAAATGTTATACATCAAATATAATGAATTGCAAACACTTACTTGAAACTATTACCCTGCAGTAAATGAGCTACTGTGTAATAAGCCATGTAAATTGTAGAATCTGATAATGATTCTATTAACCAGTGCTTATCCCACGGTAATTTTGAACCAAGCCCATAAGTTCTAGAGCAAGCATATTCATGTAACCAGTTCAGACATCCAGCGAAGTTCTTCCTAACCTCATCATGATACGTGTTCATCTTATCAAGTAATTTGTGTGCTTGTTTCTTCCAATTTTCTTCACCATAATCCAGAAACCATTGATCGCAAAGTGCCACAACACATTCATCACCTGACCGAGATATCACTGTTTTTTCTGGCTCATAATAAATAACAGCTTCTTGTTTGTCAAGTAAACTTTTTTGAAGTAATTTTTTTACATCCATAATTTTCTTACCCTTGAATTCCCCTACAAGCATAACCTGAAAATGATTTTTATTATAAATATCCGAAATATATACGTAAATAGTCATACTCATACCCCATCATAAAAGCCTTTTAGATAAACCATCTCCTTAGCTTGAGTAAGTTTCTCTTTATCGTTTTGGCTTTGAATTTTTAAACTCTCGTAGATACTAACTGCAGAAAGTTGTCCAAACTCGGGTAGTTCAAGTATGGGCACTGGTTCAAAGGGAAGAACCATTTCGTCAGTAATGCCATACTTTTCTCTAAACGGCTGCTTCTTTTTTAAATCAACTAAAGCAGCATAGTCATCTGGTGAATCTGATGGAACACTAGTAACAACACCTGTCCCTTTATCTTCTTTTATAGTTAGCATAGGGAGCACATATATTTTTTTATATGTTGTCATTGGTGCTTTTAGAGGGCATCCAAGAATATCCTACAATTTTTTTTTAATTAAACTAAATTAAGTAACAAAAACTTCATAAAACTTGTGTGAAAAATGTGTCCGATAATGAATGTTTCAAAATTCAGCAAATCCTATGAACATGCTTAAGGTGGTGGGCGTGTAGGCGTAGGAGCGTGTGCGTGCGTGCGTGGGTGCGTGTGTGTGTGCGTGCGTGTGTGTGTGCGTGTGCGTGTGCGTGTGTGTGTGTGCGTGTGTGCGTGTGTGCGTGTGTGCGTGTGTGCGTGTGTGCGTGTGTGCGTGTNTGTGTGTGTGTGTGTGTGTGTGTGTGTGTGTGTGTGTGTGTGTGTGTGTGTGTGTGTGTGTGTGTGTGTGTGTGTGTGTGTGTGTGTGTGTGTGTGTGTGTGTGTGTGTGTGTGTGTGTGTGTGTGTGTGTGTGTGTGTGTGTGTGTGTGTGTGTGTGTGTGTGTGTGTGTGTGTGTGTGTGTGTGTGTGTGTGTGTGTGTGTGTGTGTGTGTGTGTGTGTGTGTGTGTGTGTGTGTGTGTGTGTGTGTGTGTGTGTGTGTGTGTGTGTGTGTGTGTGTGTGTGTGTGTGTGTGTGTGTGTGTGTGTGTGTGTGTGTGTGTGTGTGTGTGTGTGTGTGTGTGTGTGTGTGTGTGTGTGTGTGTGTGTGTGTGTGTGTGTGTGTGTGTGTGTGTGTGTGTGTGTGTGTGTGTGTGTGTGTGTGTGTGTGTGTGTGTGTGTGTGTGTGTGTGTGTGTGTGTGTGTGTGTGTGTGTGTGTGTGTGTGTGTGTGTGTGTGTGTGTGTGTGTGTGTGTGTGTGTGTGTGTGTGTGTGTGTGTGTGTGTGTGTGTGTGTGTGTGTGTGTGTGTGTGTGTGTGTGTGTGTGTGTGTGTGTGTGTGTGTGTGTGTGTGTGTGTGTGTGTGTGTGTGTGTGTGTGTGTGTGTGTGTGTGTGTGTGTGTGTGTGTGTGTGTGTGTGTGTGTGTGTGTGTGTGTGTGTGTGTGTGTGTGTGTGTGTGTGTGTGTGTGTGTGTGTGTGTGTGTGTGTGTGTGTGTGTGTGTGTGTGTGTGTGTGTGTGTGTGTGTGTGTGTGTGTGTGTGTGTGTGTGTGTGTGTGTGTGTGTGTGTGTGTGTGTGTGTGTGTGTGTGTGTGTGTGTGTGTGTGTGTGTGTGTGTGTGTGTGTGTGTGTGTGTGTGTGTGTGTGTGTGTGTGTGTGTGTGTGTGTGTGTGTGTGTGTGTGTGTGTGTGTGTGTGTGTGTGTGTGTGTGTGTGTGTGTGTGTGTGTGTGTGTGTGTGTGTGTGTGTGTGTGTGTGTGTGTGTGTGTGTGTGTGTGTGTGTGTGTGTGTGTGTGTGTGTGTGTGTGTGTGTGTGTGTGTGTGTGTGTGTGTGTGTGTGTGTGTGTGTGTGTGTGTGTGTGTGTGTGTGTGTGTGTGTGTGTGTGTGTGTGTGTGTGTGTGTGTGTGTGTGTGTGTGTGTGTGTGTGTGTGTGTGTGTGTGTGTGTGTGTGTGTGTGTGTGTGTGTGTGTGTGTGTGTGTGTGTGTGTGTGTGTGTGTGTGTGTGTGTGTGTGTGTGTGTGTGTGTGTGTGTGTGTGTGTGTGTGTGTGTGTGTGTGTGTGTGTGTGTGTGTGTGTGTGTGTGTGTGATCGTCATGGGACATTGCACGCCAGCTGCCGCAGTGAAATTTTATAACCTATAATATAGTTTTACAGTAGTTTCAATATCTCATGAGCCGCGAAACGCGCGAAAGCCGTGGCGTACACGCATAATTCTTCTAATAAGCACGTTGTGAAAACATTGACTGAAAATTAGACCACATGCCTCATTACTACCAGAAAAGAACTAAGGCTCTTGGGCATCAATAAAGTCAACTGGCGAACGTTCATTATATATTTTTATTGCTTAAATTAAAATAATAAAGAATAGAGCATTTTATTATGATATTTGTAATCGGATCAAAGGCTTGTTTACGCTACGAGAGCTCGAGATACTGTGAATAATAGATGTAATGTTTTTAGGACGTAGAATAATTTAGGCGACGGTCGGAATTATGTTTCTGCGCACATGAAGGTCAAAGCTCATAAGATTTTGAAACAACTCTACGTTATGACAATAAACAAATACACAATATCTGATAGACTAAGAAGGAAGGGGTTCATTAGTGAAAAACAGGTCAATAAAAAGTTGAAACAGTGTGTGCTTTGAAAAGAGCTCGTGAAAAATCAAGAGAATCAAATAATAGCAATGAAAGAAGTGCAAAATTAAGATGCATATTATTTTAAGAACAAATTATTTATATACATTATGATGATCTTGAGTATTGTTTTGAGTTTGAATGTTACAATGTTTAAAATCATATTATTCGTGTATGTCAAATAAATTCTATTTTATAAACTACACAATGAAAAAATCGTTATTTATACCAAGATTGTTTTATTCTTTATATTACTCTTCATTAAATATAAAATATTTGGTAATTCATTTAATAGTTCAGTGTAATTCTACAATTCCTGTCAGATAAGAATTCTTTAATATTACCAAACCTCCAAGCATCAACTTTCGCGCTCATTTTTCTCAATTTAGTTAGTGCGACGGCTGCGACGTTGCTACATTGACCCATTCAAGCGAACTTATTCATTACTGATGTTCTAAAAAATTAATTACTCTCATACTAAATGGTCAATCAGAATTTTTTTTGTACCGAAAAATTAAAAAAAAATTTTGTTTGTATTATTGTTTGATTAAAATGTTACACAGCAGTAGAAAATTGAAATATTATTAGGAATTAAAATTGGGTATGAAGAAAATCTTTACTCTATTTGAATACCTAATAATATTTCTACTTCTGTTTAACCCATTTTAATTAAATCATAATACCAACTGTCGATCAATAACAATGTTGGCATGACATTACCTGTCACTGTTACGGCCTACCATATAACATTGTCCATGAGTAAATAGGCCTCTCACGGCCTAATTAGTGAGATTTAGTTAAAATACCTATACACATTTTGAACCATATCAATGTCCGATATGTCAAAATATATTACAACTAAATCTGTACATCCTTACGTAATTGGAAAAATGGCACAAATGCCTGAAAGAGGTCCAACAATTACAAGGTATCTTATTTTCTTAATAAAAAACCTTCTTTTCTTTTTAATAGTATCTCGCTTATTGTTAGAGGTGGACCCAACAAACCCTATATGACTATGCTCGACAGAGAACGTTCTATCCAAATATGTAAAAATATATAAGGTGTTCCATTTAAATTAACAAAGTTAACACCCACGGCCATTTTGTTTGGACTTAATTTGTTTTTCAAATATCATTTTCGAAAAGTTCATAAAAAATCGTGCAATTCTTATATTCTATATTTTTTTATAACTCTTAAAACAAAAAAGTTAATGGGGGGGGGGTCAAAATATAGTGAATCACCCTGTACATACATACATATTTACATATTTGAGAAAAAATATTTCACATATTGATACAACGGCTACACTTATTTATTTCAATAATAGGCACTAACTAATACATAATATATTGTACGTATACATACATTTATGTACCTATATATTTTCTTATGAAATAGTCAGGAGCGGATTTTTTGTTTTCATTTTCAAAAAAAAGCTTCAATTTCATTTAAATTATTATAAATATATTCGGTAGTACGCTCATTAGTATTTAAATATAAACGCAAAATTTTAAATGAATTTTCAACCAAATCGTTCAAAGATCACTGTTGCAAAACATCATCTATTGATTGTTCATCACTTCTTTTGTTTAAATTTATCTTAATTGTTAATCTTTAATGTACGTATTGGGGTCATGTTAGAAACAAACAGCAAAAAAATGTTACAAATTACACTTCTGTAGTAACAAAGCATACACACTATGTAGCTGCAGAAAACAAACTGCAGACAAGCGAAAGAAGATTAAATTATGAAATACAATATAAAAGGAGCCAAATTTCCTTAGTAATCTGAAACATTATTTAAAATCTACCTTTTTACTTCTTTCAGTTTTTTAAAACGTGACAACATGGCTAAAATAAAATTACATACATAAAAATTTTTATGGCAGATGAACGATGTGTAGTGCGAAAGTGCCTTGACTAAAACAGGTAGTACCTGCATAACGTATATAGAAAGTAACTGCATTTGGTTAACGTTATGTTGTTTGACATTTCCAGAAATAAATTTCAAACTGTTCTTATAGGTACAGTAATAATACATATTAAAATTATGTTTATTAGTTATCAAGAAATTTGAATATTTAATGCATTTTGATAAATTGTGACATTTTTAATATCATTTTTCATTTTAAAATTAACATTTCAATAATATCAGTACATTTTTGAGAATATTTTTGGCTGCAATAACATCGTATCACAGTATAATGCTGCATATATGAAATTGTATTATACTTTCATAAATGCAATCGTTTTAAGCCCTTATCTTATGAGAAATATTTGTATTCACAGAAGTGCATCATAGTAGTATGTTACTTATGTACAACTAAATCATATTTAATCTTTTCCATGCGAATCACTTCATGATCACAGTTGCAGATAATATAAAATATGTAAAGTTCTTTACAAATAGAGCAGTGCGCGCTTTGTGCCATGTACTCTATGTTGAATAGTTGATGCCCTTGAACGGTGTTCAGAGGTTCTGGCTACACAATCTTCTCTTCAACAGCTTTTTTCCTGCTTTTGCTATTTTTTGTTCTAATTCTCAAGCACTCATACTTTCTTTTGGTCACAAATTTCCCTTTCTACCGTTCTTCATCTGACATTTTGTAGGTTAAAATACTGGTTTTTTTATTATTCATTCTGAGAGCAACAAAAACACTACAAAAATTTTAATATTTTCATAATAAATCTTGTAAAATTAATCAATGTCTATAATTTCATTAGAAAATATTACTTCATGGTTTTTGTTGTCATTACTTTATTCTTATTGGCTACTTTGTTTTCTCATTCTGGAAAATTAATAGTTTGATCGAGACTTCACATGGCAAATAGTACACCCAGAAGGCCGTTATACTGTATAGTACATTCCATAAGAAAAAACAAAATTGATCATGAAAAATTAATAACAAATCTTCAAACTCAACAAAATTAATATAGAATATAAAAAATTTCATGTGAGGACCCTCACCTTCAAAGAATTCTCATTTTTATTTATTTGATACAGCAGTTTTTTAATTACAGTCAACAAAATTCTTCCATCAGAGATATTGCTTATTAATTACAAATAGGTTTTGACAGTCAAAGTTAGTATTTAATACAGTCACTTACCTGGCCCAACAATTCTAAGATTATATTAAGCTTGCCTTCACCTTCGGTGAATCCTTGATAAGATATATTTTTTGCAGCTCTATGAGTGCAAATAAATACTTCTCCATTTTTTAGTTCTACAGCAACATATTTCATATCTGGTCTGACCCAGCAGTTAGTTTGTCCATACATCGTCTCAGGTCTTAGAGTTGCTGCGACTAAGTACACTTGCTTGTTTGTTAATTTACTAGAATACAATAATTTATAGTTGATTGTTATACCATTGGATTTATAAAACAGCAGTTTGTCTAATTCTTAATTTTGATTAGTTTCAGAAGGAATTGGATTATCTGGAGCTAAAAGGCAGCATGGTTGAGGCAATTTGTTAAACTGTTATAATATGTAGAATAATAGTAATTAAGGATGATGATGATGATGATGATGATGATGATGATGATGATGAT